TGACTGTCTCTATCCCGTTTTTCCCTGGGTTGAACCTTGCCTTTGACAAATAAGTTTTGATTGGGTCTCTCTAGACAGTAAACCTCAGATCGAGAATGAATTTATTTTGAACATATGAATATTTCCTCTCTATTTGAAGAAATTTACCCACGAGAACAATGACTTGAACTTATTTTGAAGACCCCCATGCAGAGACTTTATCACCTCAGCATGAATTTGTTTGCAATTCCCTAGGAAGTTGAGATTATTTCCCAACAGCATTATTGCAAAATACTCTTAGAATTATCACCTGACAACAAGTTGTGGTCTCTTTATTTGAGAAGCTTGTGTGTCCCCGAATTTCCTTTTAGAACAGAAAATGATAGTCTCTTTTGAGTAGTCCGTCAAATCCTAGAGAAGTTATCCCCAGATATCAAGGTTGTTATTTACTCCAACGATTGGTTAATCTCTTCGACGTGATGGAGATAGTTTGTTTTGAACATTTTGTTTACTCCAACAGATGGTTAATCTCTTCGATATGATGGAGAATTTGTTGTGAAGATTTTGTTTACTTCAACGGATGGTTAATCTCTTCGATATGATGGAGAATTTGTTGTGAAGATTTTGTTTACTTCAACGGATGGTTAATCTCTTCGATATGATGGAAATAGTTTGTTGCGAAGATTTTGTTTACTTCAACGAATGGTTAATCTCTTCAATATTATGGAGATATTTTATTGCGAAAATCTTATTTACTTTAACGGATGGTTAATCTCTTCGATATGATAGAGATAGTTTATTGTGAATATTTTGTTTACTCTAATTGATGGTTAATCTCTTCGATATGACAGAGAAGTTCGTTGTAGAACTCTTTTCAAGTGGAAGAATTTATTAAATAAGAAGCGGAGATCCGTTCGTCGTGGGGAAACTTATTGTTATCCTTTTCAAGTAGAAGGCTTATTTAAAGAAGAAGCGGAGACCCGTTCATCATGGGGAAGCTTAATGTTATCCTTTTCAAGTGGAAGAATTTATTAAAGAAGAAGCGGAGACTCTTTCATCGTGGGGAAGCTTATTGTTATCCTTTCAAGTGGAAGACTTAATTAAAGAAGAAGCAGAGACTCGTTCATCACTGGGAAGCTTATTGTTATCCTTTTCAAGTGGAAGAATTGATTAAAGAAGAAGCAGAGACCCGTTGGTCGTGGAGAAGCTTATTTTTATCCTTTTCAAGTGGAAGACTTGATTAAAGAAGAAGCGGAGACTCGTTCATCATGGGAAAGCTCACTGTTATCCTTTTCAAGTGGAAGACTTGATTAAAGAAGAAGAGGAGACTCATTCATCGTGGGGAAGCTTATTGTTATCCTTTTTAAATGGAAGACTTGATTAAAGAAGAAGAGGAGACCCGTTCATCATGGGGAAGCTTATTGTTATCCTTTTCAAGTGGAAGACTTAATTAAAGAAGAAGCAGAGACCCGTTCGTTATGGAAAAACTTATTTTTATCATTTTCAAGTAGAGTTGATTAAAGAAGAAGCCGATACCCGTTCATCATGGGGAAGCTTATTGTTATCATTTTCAAGTGGAAGACTTGGTTAAAGAAGAAGTCGAGACCCGTTTTTCATGGGGAAGCTTATTTGTTACTTTCGAAAGGGCGTTATCCTGTTTATCTTTTCCTTTTCATTGGGATTTTTTCTAAAACGGTTGAGTTCTGTTTTCTTTCTCTGAGTTTGAGCCAATATCTCCCAAGTGGACCCGGTCTTTCCTAGAATTCTTGTTTCCTTTTTTCCCAGTGAGGTTTTATCATACGTTCGAGGATTACTTGTTCTTTTTTGTACATATTTAAGCATGCTTTTTGTTGTGGAATCTTAGAGCCAAAAATAGTGCATTTTTATATTTAAGTTACTCCTATCGCGCCGAGACGAAGAATTCGATCTTCACATCTCCGGATAGAAGCAATTTAAATAGGGGCATATGTTGTACCCTAATTTTTTTAACTAAGATACCACCTCATATGCGTCATTACATCTATAACAATATACAAAAAATAGCTTGTGTTTGCTCTTTGTGTCAAACAGGGTTTTGAATCAAGAAATCTCCATCAATACAAGTCTTGATCAGATTAGAGTTTTGATTGAAGAAAGTGGATTATTGACTTTTGGAATAGTGAATGATCTAATGGATTAAATAATGGTTAAAAGAACTAAAATGAAACATTTTGACATAATTGTAGGGCTCAATACATTTCCAAAGATACAATTGATTGATGGTGAAAGAATTGGAATTAACTGATGAAAAGTCAACCGTCACACCAAAGTAAAACTTTGACTTTTTGGTCAACCTTGGACTTCAAGGATCAAGGGTCATCAAAACATTAAAAATTATCAAACTTGTGCATCAATAATCAAGAGAATCAAGAAAAGTCAACAAAAGTAAAAGTTGAAGATTTTGGACACATAGAAATTTTCAAGTGTTTTGTACTCAAAAAGCCCTATCTTCACAAGCAAGTTTCACAAAGGTACAAGCTGCTTCAAGGAAAACTTTCAACATGAAAATGGTAGAGCATGATTCATAATGCAATTTTGTCAGTGAGGGTTGATCTCCAAAAATTCATAGATTTGGAAATATGAATTATTGTAGTTAACATCTCAAAATTGTCAAAAGACCAAATCTCCAAGCCATGCAACATAATCTCACTTTTCATCCCATAGTACATCTAAACCTATCCAAGATCAAGAGAGTACATAAGATTTCAAGCGTTTATCCAAGAGATACAAGCCATTATCCAAATAACTTGACATTTAAGGTAAAAAGTTACCATTGCTATTCTTGAAAAGAAATCTTTTTGTACAAAGCATGTCTTGAGCCCATTCCTTTACTTGTTGCTGATTACACTCCACCTTAAGTCAAGGAAAACAAGGTCACTTCACCTTTGTACTATGCCTTGAAACCATGGAAGTTCACATAACTTGATATTTGCATTTCAACAAAAACCATAACTTGATAACTTGAGCATTTGTTCATCTAATTACCTCTAAGCTTTCTCTATAAATAGAGAGCTCATTTTCACTTCATAACGACCAATTGACAGCTCCAAAACACCATCTTTCTCAAACACCAAAATTTTCCCAAAAACCCCATTTTGCAAGTTTTCATACCATAAACACTAAACTATCAATTCTTGCAATTTCTTTACAAACAAACCATCCAAGCACCCTCCATACATCATATAGAAGCTACTACAACCTTAAGTTTGCTTCTATAACCACCCAATCTATACCTCCATTTCTCACTTTTTGAGTTTGCACTTTGAGTTGGTTAGAAATTTTGAGCTTATTTCAATACAAAGTAAGAACATCAATAGCTTCATTGAGGTCCAAGGAAGATAAGAGGATCACCCCTTTGCTACTGTAATCACATTTAAAGGGGCAACAAACTCACTCCATTCGGTAAATTTTCTTAACTTTGAACTCATATTTAAAGCTACCATTTTCGCTCATTCTTGATACGTTTATGCTTATATGATTAGTGTGATCAAAAGTCCTATGAAAATAGGCATTATTTTAGTTTGTATGTCATTTGATTCAAATTTTAAAAAATGTTAGATCTTCTAGCCTTATCAAAAGTTCATTAGCTACAGTCTGTATTAATTTATGATATCTACATTTTTGAAATCCTTGTGAAAACCTAAGCAACTTTGATCTTTACACTTTGTATTTGGTTGAGAAATGAGTGAGTTACCATTTTTGGAAGATGGAAGTTGAAGATGATGTGTATAAAAACTAGAAAAAAAAAAGAAATTTCGCGCAGGAAATCGATTTCGTGAAACAGGGGAATCAATTTCCATAACTTCTTTTTTGTCTGCAGCAGAGGGGAAATCGATTTCCCCATATCAGGGAATCGATTTACTCAATAAAATCATTTTAAAAAAATCATTTTTAAACTTTCACTACTTTCATATAAAAACCTTGACTTTGTGTCATTGCATTTTTGAACATTCTTTTTAATCAAATGCTTCAATATACTTCAAGATATCAAAACAATTTCAAAAGACAAAAAGTGACTCAACCTCACTCAAATATTTTTTCCACTTGGCTTTTAACTTTTAAACATTTTCTCAAAAAGATTAGATATAAATTATCTTTATAGTTGAGATATGATTCTTCTATCCCCATAGTAATTGTTGAAGTAAATGTGATTCTTTCCACATGAAGACGTTAGTTGGCAACTTATTGATCTTTATATCCAATTTAGTAGGCATTCCTTCATGATGATGCAAAATCCATCTTCTCATACTTGTGGTGGTATTAGTAGATCTTTATCTCTAAAAGATGATGAAATATCTCTTCTTCCTAAAATCAACCACAACACACCATTTTGTTATTTTTACCATGAACTACGAGGTTTTGATCCTTAATTAGTACGTAGGTATAAGAATATGCCTTTCCAAACAAAAATATCCTAAAATATATTTCTTTTTCCATCTCCACACCCATTTAAACAAAAAACAACTTTAAACCAAAAAATAGATATTATAAGTGGTTCCTATAGAGTACTATAGATACATAGAGTGCTAATACCTTCCCTTTGTATAAACAACCACCGTACCTTGGATATCTTCCTTATGCTTTACTTTTAGTCTATACTTCTTGCGTTGCATGTTAAACAATAGGTTTTCGATCTTTTCCCTTTTCCTTGGAAATAATAAAGTTCGATTGTGACTTCTTAAGTCTCTGCGAGTCAAGTTCCTCAATAGCTTGGTCTCTTCAATTTTTCACCGTGACAATAAGTAAACTGGTATCTGGAAATCCTCGGACTCAAAAGGGAGTTACAAAAAGCCTCGTAACAAAGTTTTATATTCTAGAAATCCTCATAACAAACCAACTAGTATCTGGCAATCCTCAGACTCATAAGGGAGTTAGTGAAATCCTTGCAACACACTGGTGAGTTCTGGAAATCCTCAAAATAAATAAAATGGTATCTGACAATCTTTAGACTCAAAAGAGAGGTATGAAAATCCTCGTAAAAAATGGCAAGTTTTGGAAATCCTCAGAACAAAAGGGTAACATCCAGCAATCCTCGGATGAAAAAAGTGAGTTATGGAAATTCTCATAAGGAAAAGGTAACACCCGACAATCCAAGGATGCAAAAAGTGAGTTATGGAAATCTTCAAAACAAAAGGGTAACATTTGACAATTCTCTTATGCAAAAAGTGCATTCTGGAAATCCTCAGAATAAAAGGATAACATTAGGATATCCTCGGATGCAAAAGGTGAGTTCTGGAAATCCTCAAAACAAAATGGTAAATCTTACAATCCTCATATGCAAAAAGTGAGTTTTGGAAATCCTTAGAAAAAAAGGGTAACATCCAGAAATCCTCCAATGTGAAACAACGGCCAAAAAATCATTGAGAGAAAATCAATTAAGTTGCCATTAAACGTGTTTTATCCCACGGGAAGGGAAAGGTGAACATCGAGAGTAGCTGAGAAGGGTGAAATCAAGTTCTTCCGACTGAGAGATACAGGTAAGGAAGTCGATTACATGAGGGGAAGGTATTAGAACCCCCATGTCTGTGGTACTCCACTGGATCTACTCTTGTGGTTCTAATCAAAGGGTGTGTTCTAATCTAAAACTTAAGAGCTAAGGAAAAATGCAAAGTGGGAATGCATGCAAATGAAAACACGGGGAAAAGAATAAATATTTACAAAGTTTCGCTCACCTGGGCCCCATGACCAAATGCCTACGTATCCCATTTAAGGAATCAGAGCATCGTAGTTTGGCTCAAAAGTTTCCATTTGTTTTGTGTTTTTTATGGATAATGCCGCATTCGCATCCTTATGGTTAGGATTGAAATTCATGCTTAGTGTTGCACCTTGTAAAGAGAATCATGCTTGGCCGCGTGCACACTTAGCATTTCCAAGTTTTTCAAATTTGAAACAACATATCCTTATTGAAAAGGTTTAAAGGGAAAAAAGGTCCGAAGACAAAAAAGATTTGCATTGGTTTGTACTTTTTATTGTGAAATAATTTTCGATTTGAACCATAATAGTCCGGATGTGAAAATAGTGCAAGATTCAGTCTAAACTGATTCGCTCTACCCAAAAGACTCAACTGCATATGATTCACATCTTTCTTTGTTAAAAGTTTTAGAATTTTCCTAAGAAAAAGAGTTTTAGTTTTAATTTTGCAAAAGGGAAATAAAAACGTCTAAGGGAAACTATCTAGCTCTATCCCTAATGTTATCATACAATGATGGTCCTAAGGTGTGGATAACAAAGGGAAATCTCTGCCTAAGTTAGCATGCATAGATTACGATCCTAATGTCTAACTTGCATCGAAAATGAAACAAGTGAATCCTAAGAGAAAATAGAAAGGTGTAAAGAAAAGCACAAGCACAAATGCAATCAAACAAAGTCGGACCAAAGCCAAAACAAAATTAAGTGCGAGCTAACAACAAACAAATGAGTCTAATGGATATCAAAGTGGGAGTAAGGAACTCTTTCCACTTGATTTTCTCGAGCACCAATATCGAGTAATAACTCAGAGCGTTAACATTTAACGAAACATGAGCTAATATCGTTGAATGACTAACAAAGTGTGGAGGTTGGTTATGAATCCTTTTCCACTTTATTTGACTCAATGGACAAGAATGAGCGTGATTCAAAGCTTCAACGTATAACGCGAGCTAAGAATGACACAAACTAGAAAGTGTGGGAGGTCGATTACGGACCCTTTGGTATACTTATTGACTCGATAGCATGCACAAATTAAATGGGAAATGTGAGGGGAATGAGGTTTGCCTTTGTCGAGGTCTTTTGCACACAAACAAACACAAGAAAATGCACACATAAAAATGCCTTCTAAAGACCTTTAAAATAGATTTGCCCACATAAAGTAGAGACTCTCAGCCATGCATCTCTATACCTACTTCTCATGGTAAGGAAAAGAAAAGACAGTGCGAAAAATTAAACTAGAATCAGAATAATACCAAACAAACAAGAGTTCGTAGCAAGCAAACAAAGCATAGAAACCCAGAAAACATCGTGCAAGCTAGCATCAACAACAAAATAGTCGGAATATGCGTCAAATCCTCAATAAAGCACAATGAGAATGTGTGTCAGACATATCCTAATATCAATCAATGAACCAAATAATGACAGGAAAATTGAATCGGAGCAAGGTAGGAAAAGATCGCCCGAGAGAGGAAGGAATTTTAATCGTAACTCACCGAAAAAGGGAGGGAGTCTGCATAAACTCGATGCAAAGACGGAGGGAGATCGTCAAGCGGTCTCAGTGTGGGAGGAGAGTGAACTGGTAAGTTTCGGTTGGCTGGCCGGATGGTGGTGGTGGTGGCACGCGGTGGTTCGATGATCAGAGGAAGAAAGAGTGAGAGGAGGAAGATGAAGATCTTGAGCTTTATTCTTGAATGTTATTGAGGTGTTCTTGATTTGTTCTTGAGAGGTTTGAGAGAAAGTTGAGAGAGAACATAGTTTGATTTGTGAGATTTGAAATAAAGAGCATGGGTTATGTTGAATTTGAATTTCAAACATATATAGAATTGGCTCCAAGGCTTGTTTGGCAAGTGTAAATGCTAATTTTTCGGCTTATTTTATGTACCAGTCGAGATCATACCATAATCTCATCACATACGATGCAATAGCGTGACGCGTGACCTAAAACAAAATCGTCGACGACGAAATTTGTGACATGGCGCTAAAAGAATCGCTCTGATATGATAAGAATTGAGAAAGTTACGATGCTCTGAATGATGATAAGTCGGTGTAAAAAATCACAGTGCAGATTTTTCCAACTTATTTTATGTATTGTTCGTGAACAAACCACAAGCTTATGATTTTCGGTGCAGAATCCTGACGCGCAACCTGAAACAAAATCGTCGCTGATGAAATTTGAGATATTGTTCCTAAAGAATCACCCTGATACGATAAAAATCTAGAGAGTTATGATTTTTTGAATGGCGAGAAATATTGGACTTATTTTGCTGTCTTGAATCTTTCAGCTTATATTCATGCGCACTTATGCAAGCAAGCCACAAACCGAAGCCTTCAAAGCACAATCTGAATTCGAAACCTGAAGCAAAGTTATGTCTAACAAAATTTGTAATCTCTCGCTTCAAGAATCGTCCTGATACGATAAAAATTAAGAGAGTTACAATTTTTACAATATCAAGTAACAGTCCGGTATAAAACCATTTCGGGGTGCAATTTTCTCTGGTAATTCACATTTTCGGAGATCTTCTGCAAAGAATTAACCTCTGACCCGAACATACGAATCGAAAATAAAATTAAGACGGGTTTTTCGCCCAAAGAACCATCCAAAAACGTTAAACCATGTGAAATTTATAAATTTTTAAACATCCTATAAACAACGGTTCAACATACTATTTCATGGTATTTTCAATGTATATCTTCAGCGTATGCGCCCATTCAGAGATCTTCCTAACTGAATTGGCTTCCGAGACGAACACGGAACTCAAAGGAAGTAAGAATAAGATTCAAATGCTCTAAAAGCCACACAAAGATGATTTTTGGTCAGAAGTTACAAATTTTTAAGCATCTAAATACCAACGAATCAGCAAATCCACTCTATAATATGATTTCAGGTATTTGGCGCTTTTAAAAATCTTCCTCACAAAACTAACTTTCGACTTGAACAGATGAATTGGAGAATATATCAAGATGGTCTCAAAGACTGAATAACCATTCCCAAACCATTTTTCCGACCTCAAGTTATGAATTTCTGGGCTTGAAACACATAATACCGAATGTTTGTCTACACTGTCTCAAACCGATTGAAACGCTTGACTTCTGTGCAATTCGAAGCATGCCAAGACACAAAAGAGCTTGATATGATGATGACTTGATTATTTGTTGATTTAATAGCTTGGAACATATGCGGAATGCATTAAAAATATGAAAATCTTGAGTTTGCTTCACAATGCTGCTTAACGAAACAATCATCTTCCACAATTCTTTTCACAAAGAAACCCCTTGATTCCATGAGTATAAACCCTATGACATGTATGTATACATATGATGATGAGGTACAAGCTAATTAGGGTTAAAATGAAGATGGTGGATTTTGGGGTGCAACAACTGCCCCTATTCAATCTTCTTTAACCAAAGGGTGAGATTGGCGGTAGCCTTTCGAACAATAAAGGTGAAAGAGGATTGAATACTTAATAGAACCGTAAAATCTGTACTCTGAAGAAAAACAAGTATTATTATATTTTTTGGTTTTCAGTATTTTCTTTTTTTTTCTTTTGTGAATAGTCGTTACCAGGGAATAAAAATCTTGCATATCAGGTTAGGGTTAGATACACATGAAAGAGACCAGATATACATGTCTGATAAGGCTATTAGACACATATAAGAAAGAGACAGATCAATACAGAACCTAAAAAGGGAAGGAGATGATCAAAACATAACCTAACTGAAAATGTTAGCTAAGCTAACAAAAGGTGAACCCAATCTAAACGGATAAACTAGAGAATAGAAACTGATCAAAACAGGACCTAAAGAAGGGAAGGAGATGATCAAAACATAACCTAACCATAAATGTTAGCCAAGCTAACAAAAGGTGAACCCGATCCAAACGGATAAACCAGAGAAAAGGAACTGGTCAAAACAGAACCTAAACAAGGGAAGGGGATGATCAAAATATAACCTAACTAGGAATGTTAGCCAAGCTGACAAAAGGTGAACCCCATCCAAACGGATAAACCATAGAAAAGGAACTGGTCAAAATAGAACCTAAACAAGGGAAGGAGATGATCAAAACATAACCTGACCAGAAATGTTAGCTAAGCTAATAGAAGGTAAACCCGATCCAAACAGATAAACCAGAGAAAAGGAACTGACAAAAGCATAACCAAAACAAGGGATGGAGATGATCAAAACATAACCTAACCAAGAATGTTAGTAAGCTAACATAAGGTGAACCCGATCCAAACGGATAAAACAGAGAAAAGGAACTGATCGAAACATAACCTAAATAAGGGAAGGAAATGATCAAAACATAACCTAACCAGAAACGTTAGCCAAGTTAACAAAAGCTGAACCCGATCCAAACGGATAAACCAAAGAAAAGGAACTGGGTAAAAATAAAACCTAAACAAGGGAAGGAGATGATCAAAACATAACCTAACTAGAAATTTTATCTAAGCTAACAGAAGGTGAACCCGATCCAAACGGATAAACTACAGAAAAAGAACTGACTAAAGCATAACCAAAATAATGGAAGGAGATGATTAAAACATAACCTAACCAAGAATGTTAGCTAAGCTAACAGAAGGTGAACCTAATCCAAATGGATAAG